GTCCCGTTTTGTGGGGTGTTCTCGTAACTGCTGCCAGGCCGACACCATGTATAACATTGATTTCTGCCGGAGCTTAGATTGGCAGGTTCCGGCAAGATGCTTCACTCTAACTTCTACAACCGGCACTGCATCAGAAAGAGTCCTTCGTTTTCGCAGCCTTTATCGGCAGCCTCATATCGCGGACTCAACTCATCAAAACTCATGTTGAAGCCGAAGACATCACCCATAGAATAGAAAATTCTCTCATATCTCGACAATATGCAATTCATGAGCCAAAAGAAAATAGCCGGACCGTCGATCAGCCCTTGCGGCATGCGTAGGTGTTTGTATCACTTCTGCCCGTACCGAATACCCAAATACTTTTAATGCATAGTACATGCACTTGACCAAAACCATCCTCCTCGTCACCAAAGGCCACTCGTCAGGAGGAAATACACCTTTTCCATAGGGCGATGGGCCGAGGATACTCTAACATTCTTGAGGGACTGCGAATTCATTCGAAGCCCTAACATCTCTCACAACTCGCCTCTCTAGTAGAATCCGAAGTTTGCAAACCGAGAAATGAGGGATAAAAAACGCTGCCTGGGCTCTACTCACCTCTTCAAGTACTTTAGGTTGGGCTCTACTCACCTCTTCAACTACTTTAGGTTTACCAAATGGTCCAGCCAGTCACCCACACAAGGATTGCATCTAATTCGCTCTTGAAGTTTGGTCGTGGGAGCGGTCTCGCGCCCCTCACGAATCAGAAAAATGTCCCTAGAAGACAGCGCGCATTAATTTAAATTGATCAAAGGCATAATAAAAGACAAGTGAATTCGTTTTTTGACCAAGCAAGCTGCCGCGTTACACTCGCTGGCACGTCTACAGACTGCCTCTGTCCTGTCGTGTATGACACACCAGTCGCTGATAAGCTTAAATGCAATGGAATAATTTGAACTTTTGATATATTTCGTTGTTTGACTTTCCTCGGAGTTCCATAGCTGCTGAATTGCTGCTGGGCGAACTCACAGCCCCGTGGCAACTGGCATACACTCAGATGTTTGTTGAGTGACTTGATCGTGCAGTTAGAAGTATTATTTTCTCAGTTTAACATTAGAATTTCATAGGTTTCTCCGCGCCTTTTTGAGAACATGACGAAACAAGAAGTGTTCCAGCTGTACCAGCGGAACATCGAGGAGCTCACCGCTCAAAACCCGCATGCTGAGGTCGGCGGAGCAGCTTGTAGATGGTTTTCTTTCAAAACTTTTAAAGAGTTGTCGTAACTGTGCGGCACTCCGCTGTCCTGCCTGCTGGCGCTGCTTCCCAGCGCTTCCGGGAAGGTCACAGCGGCGCACGCACTCTTCTTCTGTGAAACATTGCAAAGCAGCTCCTACAAATTCAAGCCCCTCCAAAACCGGCAGAAGCAACCGAACAAAGGAGCTGGTTAAAGCTGCCGCAGCTGCTGTCTTTTACCCGCATCCGGTTGCAACACAGTTACATTACTTTGCTTTAGTGCCACTGTGTTTGCTAAACGCCACTTGGGTGGTGGAGTTGACTCTGCGTTCTCTGCAGGACCCGAGGCTGTTGCAAGCCAACCAGGGAAGCAACTGCGCACTCCGCTACACGATGTTCTGTCGGTGAGAGGAGCGAAACCCTCACGAGCGAGTTCTTGAGCACTCCCCACGCTGGCTGCATTCTTTCGAACCCTTGCAATCAGGCATTAACGGTTTAGTACGGGGGTAGATAGCATACACGCGGGGTATGCATTTCCCACTGTATGTATGTGTTGCTTAGCTATATTCATCAAAAATGATTGCTTTGCTTCTCTGAAGCAACGCCGGCTTTCACATGACATTCAGGGGGACCTTCTACATACTCACATGCAGGCATTTAGGGCTGTGGCTTTATCTTTTGTGCGTCGTCTCGCAGATGTGCAAGAGAATTAGGCGAGGAGAATCCTCGCTGCAAGTAAGCAGCGTGCGGGTGTTCCCCGTGGCTAATTACTTCAGTCCATCTATCTGAGCTCAGTCTTGCTTTGACTGTTCTATGTGCCCTCACGAATACATCGGGAGCTCGTTCAGTTCAACAGTTACATATATTATCACGTGTTCCGCAGGTACCAGTACTACCGCGCGCAGATTGCATGTACAGCTGAACAGATGGACGACTGGAACGAGCACAGGAGCAGGGGTGAGTCAGGCACGGCAAAATGACACTGCCTGATGCGTTCACTTTTCTCCTTCCTTAGCAGCTTGATGCATGGAAGGCAAGTACATGCGTCTGTACACTGCATCTGTGTCATATGGATGCAGGAACCTGCATGTTCGACATCATGCCAGAACGATCTACAAAGCACCTACGGCAGTAATTTACACGTTGCGTTGCTCTCCAAAGCCATAGTGTTGGACTTTGACGTTTCCAAAGTTTCGTTTCTTCAGTTGCAAACCCACGGCAACTGCGGGTGTACGTACACCTGGGTTGAAACCCAATTCGGAACCGCCTTACTTATTCCCACTTTTCTCAGCTAAAATATATGCTCACGCGCGGTACTGTCAAACCACCCCGTGCAGTCTTCGAATACGATACGCTGCAGTTCCCAGCAGCTACAACTAGCTAGCTATCTAGCTCCGGCGGCGACTACTGGCTAGTCAGCGATCTGCAGCAGCGAATACTAAGTTAGGCATAGGCTCCGGCCCACAAGAGAGCGCACTCATAGCCTTCGCAGCAGGTGCGGCACAAACAAATGCTAATAAATGCATGTGGGGTTAAGGCGCATACGTGGTGTGCACCTCCTCCACGAGCATCGTCATGTTCACGTTTCAGCAACTAAATCGGTCACTTCCCACTGTGCAGATATTGCTGGGTTAGTCTTCGGTAAACGCTCCACTACGAATTGCTACGTCCCATTCGGTGGATATGTGCGATATATTATCTTCTACAGTGCTGTAGAGCTAGCTACGCGATGAGCTGTACACCATGTTTCTTTAGCTTCAACTGCATCCTGCTCTTCCCCTCAACCACCCTACCTATACTCGGCTGTTCCGGATGGAATGAAAACTAAGCATAACCCTAAAGCCTCAACCTTGACTCTAAACGGCACAACCCTGTGCTGCGCAGTCCCCAAGCTTCGTACGAACCTTACATCAGTCTACCCCTCTTCAACCCCGTCCTGTCACATACTTAGATGACTGTACGAAAACTGTCAACGCTGCAAATTCGGCTCTGAAACGCGTGCGTCTGACGCACAGCGGTTGAAGCTGTTGCCGTGGCTGGGGCCCCCGCCGGCTGTTGCTGCACCTGTTGCTGCGGCAATCACTGCAGCAACGGCCACCTCACCCCGCTTCACTTGAACACATGCAGGAAGCAAACGGACGGACAGACACTCAAGCAGCAGTCGGACAGACTCACTTGCGTGGGGCTTCGGGTGGACGCACTGCCCTCTCTCAATTTCTGCATTTTTAAACCTAACAATGGGTACTTAACGACGCAAGTAGTACACAGTGCAGCATATATATACCCCAATATAACCCCAATATAACCGTCAGATAGAGAGCAAACAGAGAAAGTTGGCTGCGCCGCCCCACCTTGGGAGGGGCCGTCTGTTACTTCTGGTGTACAGACCTGAGCACGCCTCTACCAGTAAACCTATTTGCGTATCATTAATGCTTCTGCTTAACCCTGCGGTGTTCCATTCCTCTTAAACATTTATCTTCAGTTCAACACGTCCAAGGAGACATCCAGGCGCGGCACAGGCATATAAGGACCTTCTGCAGGGGGTACTATGGCAACCGAAGGCTTCTTCCCCCCCAACTTGTTGCACTGAATGTGTGTAAAGCCTGCAGCGAGGCAACGCTGCTCCTCCGAGAGCAACCCCATTGCGTGTTGGTCTCCGTCAGTAACGGCTCTGTAAACGTCTTCAGGAAGCTCGCCCTTCTCAACGCACTCTCCCAGCAATGCGGAGGACGGAAGAACCACCAAACCCTCAGTTTCCGACCCGTCCAACATGTATCCCGCCAAACCAGAGATCACCACTCCTGCCGTCCCAATGCACCTCTCAGGGAGCTGTATCGAACTCGAGACATGAACCGATTGGGAGAGGAAGCTGAGCAAGCAACAGGAACGACGCCACGCAAAATCTTTCAACGCAGTGTCGAAACAACAAACCCCCAACCCAAAACCTAAAAGCTGTCTAGTGAAAGTGTGTGGAAGGTCAAGCTCTGTTACAATGTACCGTTCCACCACCCCCAGCCCCACTGCATCGGCCAATCACCCACGAACTGACAGCCTAACGAACAACTTGTATCCAAGCTACTTTCGGCCGTTCCCTATACACCTGTGTCTTCTCACCTCCTCCTCTTGCCGTCTTCTTCACTCTTCTTACTCTCCTCGTAATGCATGCCCACGTGCAACATGCGCCGGGACGTGTCAAGGCCCATATGCAGGCCGCGCGACAGGCCGCCTCCACTCCCTCCTTTAATCTTAATCTGGCAACTGAGGATATGGAGTAGTACAAACAGCCAGTCAACAAGAATCCACAACAGCACTCCCACGAGACACAACTGTCACAGCACGAGCGGTGTGCTCCAGGCTTACCTAGTATCTTCTCCCTCAGGAAGGGAAAGAGAAAGAGAAGAATTATCTGCTCGGAGCAGCCCATCAAAGCCGCCAATGCCACGAAGGAGAGACGGGAAGCCACCCCCCATCAGCTTCTCCAGATCGAATAGGGAGCCGCCCCCGAAGAAACTGGGAAACGCCCCAGGGCCGAGATTGCCGTCATTTCCTTGTGTTAGACTATTTCCTGTCTCACTACCAGCAAAGGAACCCGAAATGTTCAGCTGTACAGCAACCATCGCAGCGAACGCTGCAACCTGCACTCGGAGAGGAGCCATCCTTGACGTCCGCGAGCAGCTGTGCAAAGAGGAAGGAGGGAGTTCTGGAGCGTTTCGATGCAATTGCAAAATGCAAGGAACATGAAAAGTCACTTAACTGCATGTGGGTTATATTCTACATAAACGAAGAACGCTACGTGTCAGAAGCAGGAATCGTGACAGAGCGAAGTGGCATGGGTGGACCCCAACCACTGCGACGCGCTCGCGTGCCACATCGGGCTGCTGCAAACCCAAGATATGCAGCGTCGAACGCAGAAAATAGCTTAGAGTCATTCAGTCATCAGAACTGTTTTTATTATACGGTATTAACGCTTTGCTACCCACAAGTGCTTGAGTGTTGCCAACTAGACCACTTGCGGGCGGTTCGCCCTCACAATGTCGCCTCACGGAGTTAAACGACAAACAACATATTCCGCTTGCTTTTATTCATAAAATGCACTGTTTTGACAACGTAGTAGCACTCGATAATTTAAAAATGGCGGAGGCGATGCGTGTAGGCCAGTTTGAGTTTGAGCGCGGCGCAAGCTCCGCCGTTGCCAATGAAGGATGGTGTGGTGTGGTGATGTGTTGTTTGCTATAGTATTTCTGAAGTCGGTATAAGTATGTTTCCTTGGACGTAGGCTGTGTAATTTGGGCAAGGGAAGTATTTAACGGTTCTCCACACTGCCTGTGCATATATCGGAACAGTGCCTGCAGATGCTTGCGTAAGGCATTGCCGTGCATCATGCATTGGAAGGGGGTGATGGAGAACTACTTGCTCTCCTCACCAAGCTTACACATTTGTGCATTTGTACCAGTGATGCCTGGATACTGGAGTGGATAGAAGGTCTATGTGAGGTTTTCTACTTTAGCTGAGAACCGTTGCCATAGGTGTGTGGGAGGTCGGTACACGCACTCCTGCATGCACTCTGGCTGTCTACTAAGGGCTGAGTAGCTGTTCAACAATTGGCTGCAGTGTTAGAGCATGCAACGAATGGGGCTTGGATGAACATTCGTGCAGGGTTGCCGTGGAGTATTACTTTCGGCGAGCTCATGCCAAGCTACCTGCTCTCCTGCAGCTCCAGGCCCTTTTGCCTCTGCCAGACCCTTTTTCCTTTGTGCATAACATGCTTGGGGACTGGAGGGGGCACCAGCTGCTTTTTATAGACTTTTGTCTATTTTTGCTCTATTACCTCTAACAGAGGACCCCATCTAAGATCGAGGCTTGCTTGACTTGGTAGCGCCTATGATTCATCGGGGCAGGTGCTGACAACCAGTCACCCCCCACAGCAGGGTGATCTGATGTTTATTGATGAATAGTGCCTAAGGTGCTTTGAAAATACAAGAACAAAAAGTATCTAGGTACTTTCACACAATTCTCAAACACTCAGCCATATATATTCTCCTCGTGCTCAGTGGCGACTGCTCAGGGTATACCAAATGGTGGGTAAACGGCCAACGGTTAGGAGCTTCGTCGCGTTAAAAGCACCTCAGCATCTGCTGTCCATCCACTCAAAAGTGAGTTTTTGCTTTTAATGAAGCAAAAAAGATGCATGAAGATTGCCTCCGCCTTCGCTGACCGCCCAAACGTGCTAGGCGCCACGATAAGAGGGCAGCAGATGCTCTTTCTGACGTGAAGTTGTACTTCCGCCTCCAAAAACCATTCGAAGGGGTAGTTTTGTTATCGCCATCTATGCTTTTACAAGGGGATGCAAGCCAACAAAATTGAAGGCACTACATTTCCGGAGCACATCTTGACAATGGAAGCCTTTCAAGCTGCAGTGTAGGTTTAATCCCCAAGTCGACAAGGAAACACGCAGTGGCAGAATTGAGAGGAGCATAACAAGGAAAGATATCGCTGGAGTGCTACATGGAGACGTGGTGGACAGAAGGCGAATGGAATGCTGGGCACTTCTACATCAGCGGCTCATTGCAGTGCTCGCCCCCGGAGAGAGGCAATCAATAACCGGCTGGCCTGCGGTGCGGGTCGAGGGGATACAAGGGTTAATTTTGAGGAGATAGTGGAAAAATACGCATCAAAGAGGGGAAAAATACAACCCTTGCTGAGAAAGAAGGAAGCGGGTTTGGAAATGGTAGTCATTTCCACCGCCCTAGCTGAGAGAAAATGAAGCACGTTTGGAAATGGCAAAGGTGTTGAGGCTACAAATCTTGTGGAGATACTTGCGAACGCCATCAAGAAGTAAGTAGGAACCTAACGCAGGTGGCGACCGGCGAGTGCAGCACCCAGAAATCCGGGGGAAAGCATTTAATTGCCCATGTGCAATGGCCACGGCCACATAATGCAAGATGGCCTAGGTATGGAAAGAGCAGAGGAACTGGCTAAGCAGGACTTCAGCAGCACCTCCAGGGGGTCAAGCAAGGCAATGGAAAACGCCTCAGCCACCACGCAACGTGCACCACAGTGAAGTGGCCGAAAAAGGAAACATCCGCGCCTGTATGTCCGCCGTGAGTTAACTGTGTGGTTATCCAAGTTCGTAGTAGTGGTCAGTAGTGCTCAGGTGATGATAACAGCACTTGAAACCAGTTGCGAAACGTATCTGCGACGAGGAGGGATGGCCTAGCTGTCTATTGGTTGGCGCAGTCTTTGCCACTACGCGTCGTGAGCGGCAGGGAGGACGAATCGGCACCACAATCGAAATGTCATGCGAGCTCAATTTAGAAACTGTTCCTACTACAATGATACAGTATTTCTATGTTGGACAAGCTCAACACAAAAACGTCCTAGGCATGCCGTAGATTGCCACTGGAGGGCGAACAGGTGGCATCCAGTCCACGTTGTTGAGTTCTATGTGCCTGGGAAGACTGAAAGAGTGCAGCTGTCAGTGCTCTCAATGGCATTTGCATCTTTTGTTGTAAGAGGAATGGGATCAGCGTTTTAAGGAGAAAAGAGAGAGGAGGCTCCAACCCAAGGCAGCCGTTTTGCAGAGGATAACGGAGAAATGCAAGCGCTCTGTAGTGAACAGTGCTCCCAGCTGCCATTGCTTACCGGTCCTATGTATGCCTACTCAGGCGCACACTCTATATATGCACGCTACCTAAGGGCATAGCCCTTGAAATAATCTTACTATATGCAAGAACAGTGCAGTATTCCTATATGGGAGCCAATCCTCCAAAAGGAGGAAGCGTAATAATAATAATTCTTCCGATGCGGGCCACTTTCGGGTAAACTCTTCGAGTACAGTCCCAGTCTCACTGCCAGCCCCAGACCGTGGGTAACTGTAGTGAATAGTGCTCTCAGTTGCCACTACTTATCGAACCTGGGTACAACTACATAGGTGCACATTGGATGAACGTACGCTACACCCGGCTCATAACCCTTAAAATAACATTGAAATATCAAAGACTACTCTATTAGTCTGACTGCCCGCTGATCCCCTAGAGGGTCAGCGTCACGGTTGGAGTGCCAGCCTCACGACCATCCACAGGCTTTAAGGAGCACGCAGTAGGGCGAGCAGCCACGGAGGTTCGACGTACGTTGGGTGGGCGACTTGGTTATTTGTTGGCTGGCTGAGACGTTGGCGTACATCGTCGAGTGATTGCCGATGTTTATTTTTAGGTGTCATCGTACCATTAGCATTGCTTACCAAAATATTGAGGGAACCGCCGAAATATTGCCTGACTCTCCCTGAATCGGCAGAAACGTCATTGCATGAGTGCACAGATGGAGGGGACAGATCCTGGACGCGCAGGCAAAACCCAGAGGCCATAGAAAATGGCACTATTAGTTAAATGTCCATGATAATGAACGCACAAGTGGGCTTGCGAGAATCGCATGCACGAAACGACTCCTCACGAGTAGTATATTTGGGTGCTCCTGGGCTCAGTTCCAGCCGCGACAAGCATGAGCGTCTGCAGAGCGACGGAAGTTTGGCCATTCGTTGACACTATCCCTATCACGTGCATGCAGAGGCTTCTACGTTCCGATCTATATTGCAACTGGAGTCAACTACTCTTCAGTGTGACATACCCTTCCTCCTCTGCGTAGTACTAGCTCAGAACTGCTGCCGACAACACATTTATTTTCATGTTTTTAAGTTGGTCGCTTTGCTACCCGCCAATTTCCTCATATTCCGCGAGCTGTTGGGGGATCTTGCAAGTTTGCTTCTTTGTGCTTTTATGTTGGGCCCAGACGCAGCAGCAGCAGAGGTGCGTCGCACGCATATGAGGCCATCTACTCTCCGCCAGCTCCAGTCCCATGTGCCGCTTTACCCAGAACGTCTAGGTACTGTAGAGGCGGTCAGCGGCGTTTTAGGATCTTAACACTTTTAATTCGATTGCAGCTCGCGACGATCCCCCAGGCCTTAGAGAAATTGTCTTGGCTGCTCTGCATTTCGGGCACGGCACCACAGACGTATTCACACTGGTGCCATCTGGGCCCAGCATAGTGAAGGTGCGAGCAAATAGACCGTCTTGCGTGGGCCCGTGTGGCTTGCTGCAGGGTGAAGATGTACTTTATACATCATGGAGTGGCGTTACGCCCGATCTGGTGGTCGGAATATGCACCAAATCCCCTGCATGAGCACCAACGGGGACTTAACCACGAGCTTGAATCCATACTCCCTGACGGAAGTGCACGCGAGCTGCTGATTGTGTTTGAGAATGGCCGTCTTTTGGGAAGGCGCTGCTCTGCTGCACCAGCACCGACCAGCAACTCCTATCTTCCAATGCTGATCTTCGATCAACTGAGGGGTAAGCACCTTCGCGAAACGCGGGCAATACTCGCTGCCCTCTTTTGCTGACTGCAGAAGGGAGCAGCACCGTATGGCCTCTGCTGCATTAGTTTGTTCGTCACCCTCTTAGTCCGTTGCCTCCTGTAGGGGCAGCATGAGAGAGCATCACAAACTGCGTTGCTTATGCACTCCACTTCACCTTCAGATCCTGTATATCCACCCAGAACTCCAGCAGCCGAGAAATACGTGGCCGAGCTGGCTTCCTGGCCGTCAGCATAGTCGAAAAACGCAAAGCACTACGGTTTGAGTATTCCAACGGAGATTCTACCAGTATGAAGTCCTACCCCTTCTACAGGGCCCTGATAAAGCAGGGAGCATCTAGTCATATGCTGAATATTAAGATAGCTCTGCTGTTTTCATCTGTATGCCCAAACCCTAGCGGGTTGACGTTTTGTCCCACCACGCCACTTCCTCCGTACCCCGAAGCACGTGTAAGCAGGAGGTATGGCTTCCCTGAGTCAGAGGTCTGCACGATAATGTGGTTGGCCAGGGGTGTCTTTCAGAGCCTTCACTACTGCTCTGTGCACCTCTGCCCACACAAAGAGCACATCCATCTTGGTGATATCGACTTCCGATTTCCCTACATCGGGGAAGGCCGGCCGCGTGATTATTCTGCAATGGTTGACTCGGCGATCCTTAGCGCCGAAGACAAATTGCTGTTCATTCGGTATAATTGGGGTCAAACTTCGTAACCGCTCATGGGTAATGTGCACCGAGGACATTATCATTGTTTCGTTCACAACAAAAGTGCGCTACAAAAAATCAAGTCCGCTGATTCTATGAACAATTGCAGCTTCGGTTAAAGTTTCCAGTGGTCGTCGATTCCCTTGGGGCTGGGTGTGGGAAACTGGCACGACGTAGGCACATATTTTCTACCGACTTCTGTCCTCACCTTCCCGAAGACTTTTTTCTATCATTAAAAGCCCAAAAATTAATATTTGCTGGACCATTAGGGCTGTCCTAGACGACAATAGCACGGGTTGCTCTGAGTGGCGCGGCACTCCAGTGGTGCCACAGTAAAGGGACCTGCTGTTTGCCCCGTCAAGAACGTCCAGAGCTTCTACACTGTGACCCCTAGGTGTTTGACCTAGGTACGTATTTGGGCAAACAACCTCATTACTAAAGTATGTGAGTGCTTTGAGTTGTACGGGAACCTTTGGCCTGGATGCTACGTTTCGTCCTTGTTGGCATGTGGTCATCAAGCAACCTGCAGCTTCTGGAGGCACAGAAGTTGTTGCTCCCTCTCACGACGAAGCGAGAATTGGAGGGGAATTTAAGCGCTGTCCAGGAGACTTGGAGTAGATTGGCCTATCCAGCGCAGCAAAGGCCCCCTGCACGACCGCGGCTTCAGAGCCTCTCCTTAATTCTCTTCCTGGTTATTGCTATCTCGACTGTATCAATCTTAGCATGGCTGTCCATATGCAAGGCTCTGCGCAACAGAGAACAGGGGTTAGGATTGTCACGGCGGAGACTGTCTCAAGGGGGGGAAGGTATCGATGAAGATGCGCTGTCTGTAATAGAAGTGTGTTTGGAATTGGAATCCGAACTGGGGATTATGGAGCAAAGAGCCTCCTCCAGTTCTGAAAATGACTCGTCAGAGCGGATACTGGAACTAGCGTCAGCGCTATCGGAGGCAGCCGCATGGAAGGAAGCAGAAGGGCAGCCGCGAGTAAGCGTGTTCCTGGAGCAGCAGAGCGGTGTTGAATCTAAAGGCGGTGAAGTAGTACACCGAAACACTGGTGCAAGTTCGCCATATGTTGAACTCGATCTGCCCACTGGCCTGTCTCCTGCTCTGGACCCCGACTCCTGGATGGATGCAATTCCCAGCATCGACCTTCAGCCTCACGAACAGGAAACAGCTTATTTATTCTTGGCTACTGCTGACGAGTCAAGGACTGAACAAGCATCAGCACCATTCCCGTCGCAGCGAGAGCGTGCGAGAGGCCGAAGGGATCTTCAGCCTTGCGGCATTCTAAAACATCCGTATGTTCGGCTGCCAAAGTTGGAGGAAGGCGTCGTTCCGAGAACCATCGACCTAGCTGCCCTGTTTCATGAGGGAGGAAGACATTTGTCACCGCATACCTATTTGGTCACGATGCGTACCTTATTTTTACAGGAGACGCTCGGTCAGAAGGACGCAGATCTCCTCATGCATGCCGTCGAGCGGCTAGTGACCACATCATGGCATCATACTCAAAGACAACGAAAACGCCGCTTTCCCGTGCAGCGCGTTGGGGTCCTAGGTACTTATTTTATGGTACTCGATTCCCTCGTGTGTGCTTTCGAACTTTTGGGGAGTTATATGAGACTGCCTCTCTGGTGGGGCAAATTCATCGCCATGTACGACACCGCAGAACTTGCACCAGGTATAGACGTACGTGGAGGCGAAGTAGCAGATTTCCACAGGATGCTGCAACGGCGGCTTATCGCTGCCCTGGATACCCTCAAACAGGGAAGACGCATCAGCCCTCAGGAATTAGTTGTGCTTAAAATGCAGCTGTTCTGTTCACCATTTGGGCAACACCAGTTGAAAGGTCCTAAGTGGGAACCCTGGCGACAAGATGGGGCATGCTCGTAAGGCACGGTTTTTTTCCTTTGGCTGGAGTGTTTTCGATGAGGAGATATTTGTTGGTTGCTTATTAGGCGTTTCTTTTCCGTCGCTGAATCACACCGAGTAGCAGCACTAATCAACAAAATTGGATGCGCACCACCGGCATTTGCGTCATTTTGGAGCTTCACAGTTGGTGAGTGTAAACTCATCAATCTGTGCTTTGGTCTCGAGGATGTCGTGCCGTGTTGCTTTGCCCAATGGTAGGCACATTGTGACAACAGTTTGCAATGGCATGGAAGAGCGTGCCCTTTCGAACGCAAGAGGTACGGCTGGTCGTTTGGGACAAGCTGCTAACCCACATTCGAAAAACAGTACCGTGTCCGAGGAGGTGCCTGGACACTTGGGTTTCCGCAGTGGTCTTTTCACAACAAAACATTTATGTTCGCAAGCCGAGGTGGCGCTGTTGCGGATATTTTTCAATACCGGAAACAGTGGAACATTGGCATCAGGATCTTTGGTTCATTCCGTCAAGACTAGAAAGCTGTGGAAGTAGTGATGGACGATGCAAAAATACTCCAGGTTCAGCAAATATTAGATGGCTTCCAGGCACCCGTTGCGGTGTAGATTCAGATGAAGAACCAACTTTCGCTACGCACTACGGCTCCCGGCTTAACTGGCAGCATCGACGTTAACGCTGACCGGATCGGCAGATTGACTGTGGACCTCAGTAGTAGACGATGCCCCATTACGCACCTTCTGCAGGAATTCTGGCCATTACATGCTCTGGCCTCTTTGCCTTCATGGAGGCGAAGGAGAAGGGACGTTTGGGACCGTTTCACTCAGCTTCCCTGGTACAACTCTGCAGCATTTGCTTTCCATCATCACTGTAGTCTTTACATTATTGCAGTTGCCTGTGCAGCTTCCACTTCAGGACCTCAGCGACATGTTGTTCTTTGGCAGACGTGCCACGTAGCACGTGCCGGCGCAGAGACTCTGTTGTGGCGCCTGGTCCGATGCATTCCATCGACAGGCATGCTCACTGTACAAAAGTATTTGTTTGTTATCAGCTTAGGCGATGCGGCCTGAGTACAACTCTATGTAGCGCTCACGCACTGGCCCTCACCAGTAAAGTGACTCTTGCCGAAAGCACGAAGCGCGGTTTTGAGCTGTTCGAATGTTTCAAACGGGAGGCGTACTAGGCCTACATAGGAAATGCATTCCCAAAAGACATGCGAATTATGAGAATTAAGGGAACCGACGGACACAAGCGGCATCAGGCACCGCAAATGCATCCCAAAGTTGCAGAAGCTGCCTAGGCGTAGTTTGGCTTCTCTATCATCGAGTCCTTAATATGCCCATGTTTGAAAAACTTCTTCCACCTTTCTGTTCGTTGCACAAGCCCCAATTTCCTTTCAAACCCATTTGCCCATTTCTGGCGTGCTACAGCTCACTGCTGACGTTGCCGGAACCGGCAGACACATAGCACCAAAGTGCAACTGGGGGTCGAGGCCTCAGGCGCGCAGTTTTGCATATGTAGGCCACGGGAAGCTTCTAGTTTCTCCGCTGCGAGTGCTCCTGGGCTAGGTCTGCCGCCTTTCTACCTGTCGCTCCATAGTAAAATCGCATTGTTCCCTGTGCTCCCCCAGTTTGGCATCGTTTT